AACTGTGACTTGGAGAGGTTAAATGATTCCCTGTAAGGGCCAAGAGTTTCTGGCGCAATGGAGACTAAATTCCAGGTCTTCTGGATTTCCATCCCAATGGCCTTCCCACTCATTACATCTCTCTTTCTCTCCCCACTGAGCTCTCCTCCTCAGGGGTACCAGCTCTCCCAAAAAGCCCTGCTCAGCTGAAATTGCTTTCTCTGGACACGGTTCATTTCAATATGATCCCTCTTTTCTTTAAACCATATGCTCTTTTTCTATGGCATCATCTTCCTATCTGAAAAATAGGTTCATTTCTAAAACATTAATACTAAGAGTGTGTGTGTGTCTGTAAGCACCTCTGTTCATAGATAATTTTAACATTAAACTTTCCTAAAGTTTAAAGGGCTACATCATTTATCATATGATTCTCTAGATATTCCTCTTAGGGCCTGATTCCCCAGCTGACAAGTATAAGAGCTTAGAGAAGATTCTGTAGGTCTTCTAAGCACTAATTCTTGAGCTCTTTAAGTTTTTATACATATTCCTGCTTTCTAATTTTTGTTTTGCAACAATACTTTCCAGTGCAACACTTCTCTATAGCTGAGAGTAAGATGTACCTCACTGGCACCTGGATTTAGTACCCTATTCTTCTAAGGGAAAGGGCCGTAGTGTGTCTTCATGGGGAGCAGAGTGGTTAAGACCAGCTTCTTTATGGAGGGTGACATGCCTGTTTAGAGAGCTTTAGGGAAAGAGTTTAGTAGGTTCACCAGCAGGTAAGCAGAACTTCCCTGAATGTACACAGCTCTCTAGCCAGTAAGTACTCTCTAGTTGCATTAACTCTGAGCAGGTTCCTGAAACTGTCTTTGCCTCATGTGTGCATGTGTGCTAAGTCACTTTAGTCATGCCCGACTCTGTGCAACCGTGTGGACTGTAGCCCACCAGGCTCCTCTGTCCATGGGGATTCTCCAGGCAAGTATACTAGAGTGGGTTGCCATGCCCTCCTCCAGGGGATCTTCCCAACCCAGGGGAGGAACTTGGATCTCTTACGTGTCCTGCATTGGCAGGCACAGCCAGGCACATAATAAGCGCAAAGTACATGTTTGTTATTATTGTAAACAGTATGAACAGATACGTGTGATAAGAGTTTAAATGAATCAGCCCTGTTTAAAAGTCTGGCTTGTGTAACTGGGGGTGATCCCTCCAAGCTAGGTTCTCTCACTGAGCTCTGAGCATATCCCCTACTGTAGGCATTAGGAATGACTCTGGGATGCCCACTCATTCTCTCCTATTTTTAAAAAAATTTTATTGGCATATAATTGATTCATAATGTTGTGTTAGTTTCTCCTTCTTTCTTAAAAATATATTAGAAATAATTTAAATGTCCAACAGTGAATACCTGGATAAAGAAAATGTGGTACATCTATATCTACAGTGGAGTATTATTCAACCATACTACTACTACTAAGTCGCTTCAGTCGTGTCCGACTCCCAGCAACTCCACGGACTGCAGCCTACCAGGCTCCTCCGTCCATGGGGTTTTCCAGGCAAGAGTACTGGAGTGGGGTGCCATTGCCTTAAACAGGAACCAATTTCTTTTACCATTTGCAACAACATAAATGGAGGAGGAAATGGCAACCCACTCCAGTATTCTTGCCTGGAGAATCCCATGGACAGAGGCGTCTGGCAGGCTGCAGTCCATGGGGTTGCAAAGAGTCAGACATGACTGAAGCACCTTAGCAGGGGCTCATAACAAAGAGAACCTTCAGGGTATTATACTAAGTGAAGTATGTCACACAGAAAAACATAAATACCAGATGCTGTAACTTTTATGCTGTGATTAGTTGCTCAGTCATGTCTGACTCTTCGCAGAATCTAAATAACAACAATGAAAAACAACAAATCAAGCACACACACACAAAAATCACACATGAATATTGAAAATAGATTGGTGGTTGCCTGAGACAGAGGGAAGGAGGTGAAAGGTGGGGAAATGGGTAAAGGAAGTCAAAAGGTGCAAATTTCTAGTTATAAAATGAGTAAGTCATTGGGATGCAATGTAAGCCTGGTGACTATGGTGATGCATGTTAACTGGACTTATTGTGGTGATCATTTTGCAATATATACAAATATTGAATCACAACTTTATACACCTGAAACTAATGTAATGTCAGTTATATCTCAATAAATATATATATGCTAGGTATTAATATAAATATATACTAATATAAATAGCTATTAATATAAAATAGCATAACTATTAGTGATGCAAGACTCTAAAGAGTAGCAGAATATGCCCCCCAATTTTCACCTCTTAATGGAACAGTTATTTTGAGGTAAAAGCAATTGAGAAAAAGTAGATACAAAGATTATTCTCTGCCCTCCTATTTAACTAAAAGCAGGATATAAATTTGTGAAGGTGTCTCCCTTCCTTCTCTACCAGGAAACACAAAATTACCTTTGTCAGCCCAGAGAAGGCAACAAAACAATCTACAGAAACTAGCTCTCATCTTCCATTAGCTATCTTATGTATTTGCCTTCCCTCAATTTTCTGCCTTAGGAACTCAAAAGTTCTTTTCCTTCCATCTTGCCACTGATCTACAAACTTGTCATTCTTTTGTCAAGATGCTATGTGAGCCCAAGTTGTAAGTACCTCTTTGAGTTACTCCGAGTAGTATCATTTGATACTGAGTTGCATGGAAATACAGTTTATCCCATCACTACCTTATTGCCTGACATATCAGTAAACAAAGGATGTCAGAGTCATCAAAGACTGCAGCCACCTCTGACCATCAAGTGTGACCTGATGAGCCCTGAGGGAACTCAGGAAGAAAACAAATAACCTGCCATCTAGAAGCCAGCATATTGCAGCCACTCCCTACAGTGAGCCCTGAGAACACTCAGGATGTGAAAACCAGGATATAGGCCCCAGATAACTGAGATGCATATCAAAGAAATGATTTCAGTGAGCCCAGACTCTGGTGTCTTTCCATACATGGAAAAGCACTAAATTCTTTAACTTGAGATATCTAGTTTTCTTTTGTTAACAGTAATCATCTGTTCCTACTACCTGCCTTTGCTTGCAAAGCTCCTATATATCCTGGCTTCCCCTTCACCTCCTCGGAGCAGTTTTCTCAGGGTTACTTGAGATGTTGCCTTCTGGGCTTGATATCCTCAGAGTGTCTGCTGAATAAAACATAACTCTCAACTTTAAGGTTGTGCATGTGTTTTTCAGTCAATACTATCCATGATTCAATATTAATTATGAGCTTTGAATAATTACCTATGAGTTTCTGGGTAAGTTAAAGTCTTTTACCGATATGTGTAAGCATGTGATGTGTGTGTATGCATGTGGTTGTTGTATTTGCTTTCAAATATCACAGTAAATTCCACATTGCTTTGTCCTTGATGTATCTGAAAAGTGAACCATTCATTCTGCTTCTGAGGATATTCTCTTTGAATATCTCTTTGCTAAGTAACTCATTATGTCTTGCCTTGCTTTGACTCAACCACCTGCCACATGGGCAGGCCATTAACAATTACGCTGCTCACACAAAGATTTCTGTAAGTAATTATTCCTGGGGCCTAAGCTACAGTCTGGTCTTCCCTGTTGGTTCAGTTAGTAAAGAATCCGCCTGCAATGCAGGAGACCTGAGTTCGATCCCTGGGTTGGGAAGATGCCTTGGAGAAGGGAACAGCTAAAACTATAGCCTGGCTTCTCACAGCTGTGGTCCTGGCCCAGCAGCATTATCTTAGGCCCCGCCAGACCTACAGAATAATAATCTATATTTGAAAAAGATGTTTGAGTGACCTGTATGCACATTAAAGTTTGAAAAGCACAAGCCTAAACCAGTGTTTCTCTCCCAAGAGGTGGTAAGCTGATCACCTACATCGGGATCACTTGAGAGGCTCCTCTACAAAGCAGGTTTCTGGACCCTACCCCAAACTGAGTGAAGCAGAATCTCTGGGGTGGGGGCCCTTGAAACTGCATTTTCAACAAGTTCCTCTCCCCAGCGCTTAGGCAATCTAGGGTTTAAGAAAAGCCAGAGTAGCATTTTAGAATATTATACATGTTGACACTTTCATCTATGTGGGTTTTTCACCAGCCTAAAGTCGCTGGGCAAGACATACCTAGAAATATAAACTAATTAAAGAACAAGTTGACTACAGAAACACAAACCCACACCTGGCATTAGACAAAACTGCCAACACTGAGAAAATGCCTTTAGTAATAGACGAACCACCCAAAGAGGTTCCACTGCTGAAAGAGGTTTCAAGCGTCTGCAATGAAATGTGGACAGACAGGCTGTTTGTGTCAGAGAGGAGAGGGAGCAAATCGTGAACAATAACATCATTTCCTCTCTTGGACTCTTGTTTAAACATCACTCTCCTGTTCTCCTTTAAAACATTAGTAAAAATCTATTTGATTCTAACTGGTTACTCTCAATATAGGAGAAAGTATTTCTGCATCCATCAGATGTGAAAAGAAAAATATCAAAATGCATTCTGTTTTTATCTATCTTCTATATAGGGGCAGGCTTTATTAGTAATTGCTAGAGGTGAATTTCCTTTCAAATACCAAGAAGAAAGGTGTTACTCTGTATTATACAAATGGTTCCATGAAAGAACCAGGCTATCTTTTGTCTGTTTAGAAAATTCAGCTGAGGACAATTTTTCCTTATCCCCTGGATATTTGACATCAGAAAACACAACTCCATTAACTCCATCTTCATAAACTTCATTTTATGGATCCAAATTACCCCCATAAACATCTGGACATCATGACTTGTACACGCTATGGCTCTGTCTAGCTAAAGTTTTAGAGCTGCAAAATAATATTGCCTTAAAAATATCAAACATATCAAAAAGACTAGCACACAGGACCTTGTTTTGACTTAATGCTCTTACTGAAAGTTAGACAGAAGAAAAGGAGACATAGTAACAGGGATAGGAAGTTCTATTTGAAAAGCAGGAGCCAGTTTTAACACCCTGGGAATCTTATTTGCAGAGAACTTACATACCTCAGAGTATAGGATTCCCATACTGGTCCTTCACAGATTCACTTCACCTCTACAGCTTCTTGAATCTTCTTGAGGTATTTCCAGTTAATATCCAAATCCTTCCCAGTCCAGAGAAAGGTCTCTAGAAGCCCAGGGCGGTCAGCGGCAAGTCGTTTCTTCTGACGCCGGTGAGTATTCTTCTAGCAGCCCACAGCAACACGCCTTCCAGTGAGCCCAACCCAGTGAAACGAGGGCATTAGTTTACTGTGTAATGAATGACCCAAGTCCTGTGTCATCTAATGTTACAACCCCGAGGAACCGGTTTCTGAGTCATATCTACTCTGCCAATGGTGACATGTGAAAAGAAGGAAGCAGAGTTGAAGGGGGAAGAAAAGTTCTCACAGGGTCAGGAAGGACTCAGGGCTCAAAACGGGGTACTGTGTTTGGGACATTTCCTATTGAAATCTGGTTTTCAGTGGCTATTGAGAAAGGCTAAGTGCAAACAAACTCACTTGTTAGAACCATATATGTTGGCACAGGACTTGACCTTTGTGAAAAATCCACTTTAAAACTAATGGATTATTGCTATCTTTATTCACAGATAAGTTTGTTTAATATTCTTGATGTTTTGATATAAACTAATTAAAATAATAAAGTCAACTTGTGAACTATACAATTTTAAATACATAAATATACTCATAATGACTTTCAAGGGCATCTCTGAGTAAAGTTTGAGCAACTCAAAAAGAAACTAAATTTTGGAAGAATTAATCCCATTTACATTCTAGTCAATTCAATTACCTTGAAAAGTTTAAATTACACTTATAGTACTACCATATTTGATTTTCCTTTATAAGCACTGTAATTCTGAGCATAACAAGTAATACTTTCACAGCTAAACAATCTTGTGAATTGAATAAACTAAACTTACTCTAATAAAACAAATATATTGTCTTAAACATTCTTTTTTCAAATTCAGTCAAATTAATTTATAATATTCCATTTAAAAATCATAAGTCTAAAATCTCTATTATATATTTGATGCTTTTGAGCTGTGGTATTGGAGAAGACTCTTGAAACTCCCTTGGACTGCAAAGACATCAAATCAATCAACCCTAAAGTAAATCAATCTTAAATACTTATTGCAAGGACTGATGTTAAAGTTGAACTTCCAAAACTCTGGCCACCTGATGCCAAGGGCCAATTCATTGGAAAAGACCCTGATGCTGGGAAAGACTGACGGCAGGGGGAAAAGGGGACGATAGAGGATGAGATGGTTGGTCAGCATCACAGACTCAATGGACATGAGTTTGAGCAAACTCTGGGAGTCGATGAAAAACAGGGAAACCTGGTGTGCTGCAGTCCATGGAGTCGCAAACAGTCAGACACAACTGAGTGACTGAACAACAACAATACATTTTGCATGGAATCACCAGGCCACATGGCCAAATAGGTTAACATGCCAAATCTCTTAAGCACTGTTGACATTGTGTGTGTGTGTGTGTGTGTGTGCATGAACAGTCAGTTACTCAGTCACGGCTGACTCTCTGCAGACCCATGGACTGTAGTTTGCCAGGCTCCTCTGTCAGTGGAATTTTCCAGGCAAGAATACTGGGGCAGGTTACCATTTCCTGCTCCAGGGGATCTTCCCGACCCAGAGATCAAACCCATGGAGTTCTCTTACTTCTGCATTGGCAGGTGGATTCTTTACCACTAGCGCCTAGGAAGCCCAGACATTTTATATATCAAGTGCAAGTGCAAGTTGCTCAGTCATGTCCAACTCTTTGTGACCCCGTGAACTGTAGCCTGCCAGTTCAGAGCCTCCTCTGTCCATGGAATTCTCCAGGCAAAAATATAGGAGTGGGTAGCAGTTCCCTTCTCCAGGGAATCTTCCCAGCCCAGGGATCAAACACAGGTCTCCCGCATTGCAGGTGGATTCTTTTCCAGCTGAGCCACCAGGGAAGTTGTTATATTTGGTACCAAATATAATACAAAATATTCACACATTTTTTCTGAACTTAACACAATCACAGCAAAGTGCTAAACGTTCCCAGAATTAAAACACACACTCATGAGAAAAGAGTTCAGTCATCCCAAGCAACTGGATAGGACTCTGATCAACTGAGGTTCTTTCTGGTCAAGATTAAGGAGCTAGGATTCAAGACCTGAGCTCTTGAATTTCTTTTCCTCCCCAGGGAAATTCTTTCTACTCCACTGATGGATGCAGTGGGCTAGTCTTATTGTTGTTATAATGAGAATTATACACTACTATGCCTTGGCTTTGGAGCCAACCCCCCAGTAATTTTAAGAATTAGCTAATACTTCTGTTGGAGACTTGGAGACAGAAGTCTGCAATACCCAGTGAGATTGCAGCTGACTTCCTCTTTGGCTTAGTTTGATTTTGCATTTCTTTATTCTTAACACATTCAGGTTTTTTCCCATTGACCTAAACATTAATGCTATTTCCAGGGAGTACTTCAGTATCTTGTGTAAATCTTCTGTAACCCTTTTTAGCTTCCTTTGTAATTTCCTCTAACTAACTTATTTAACAGAACTCTTCACTTTCACTACCTCTATGCTAAGGTTGCTGCTGTTTCTCCAAGGTCTTTGCACCCTAACTGAACTGAAAAGTCTTCTTTAATTTCCTAACAGGACCATAACTCCTCTAACTGGAATCTATCTCTCTCTTGACTGCATCTTGAAGGTGTCGGAGTTTGAAACAAGCTTACCCAAATGTGCCATGTTGACATGAAGATTACTTGGAACTAAAGGCAATAGAGACCCAGTGCGTTCAAGAGAATCCATTTCCCCTCCCTTAACTACCCAAATTGATTTTATTCTTTGCAGCCAAAGATGGAGAAGCTCCATACAGTCAGCAAAAGCAAGACCCAGAGCTGACTGAGGCTCAGATCGTGATCTCCTTATTGCCAAATTCAGACTTAAATTGAAGAAAGTAGGAAAATCACTAGACCATTCAGATATGACCTAAATCAAATCCCTTATGATTATCCAGTGGAAGTGACAAATGAATTCAAGGGATCAGATCTGATAGAGTGCCTGAAGAACTATGGACAGAGGTTCATGACATTGTACAGGAGGCAGGGTTCAAGACCATCTGCAAGAAAAAGAAATGCAAAAAGGCAAAATGATTGTCTGAGGAGGCCCTACAAATAGCTATGAGAAGAAGAGAAGCAAAAGACAAAGGAGAAAAGGAAAGATATTCCCATCTGAATGCAGAGTTCCAAAGAATAGCAAGGAGAGATAAGAAAGCCTTTATTAGTGATCAATGCAAAGAAACAGAGGAAAACAACAGAATGGGAAAGACT